GGATCATAACGGAACACCACCTAGGGATACCACTCGCACGAATAAGGAATTTCGGGGCTACAAAGCCCCGTAGGGTAATGCGCCGGTGAAAAAAAAGCGAGCAGGAATCCCCTGGCGTGGCCACTCGAGTAATTACCATCACCCAATTTCGTGGCCACTCGAGCAATTCGAGGCCCCCCGAGAGAGGATGAATCACCCGATTGGCCACTGGAGAAATTCTCTCGGCCAACGCACGTACTGAACGGAAGATAACGTCAGGGCGTGACTAGCGGAAATTACCCTCTGACAAGTCTCGGGGAAAAGAAAGGGGGAAGGGGGGGGGGGGGGGGGGGGGGGGGGGGGGTCTTTACGCCCTCCAGTGTAATCTTCGATAACTAGAAAATTACCCTAAGGCATCAGTGTGGCCTACAACGATACACTTACAGATCAGTGTAACACTAATTCACAAAAAAAATACCCCAGCCCATCAGTGTAGAGTCAAAATTTCACCCTTCTTATCAGTTTAGAAGAGTAAATTACACTGCAAACCTGAGCCCTGCTTGTGACCTCCACTGCATATCAGTATTATTGATAAGTTGATGAGAGGAACAGCAGCAGGAATGTGACCAATAACCTTTTATCTTAATCATTTGCCACTCTGTTGGAGCGAAGTTGATGAATGGAAGGTGGGGAGGCAGCAATGACTACGCGCACACACAGTTGAAGGGGTAGGGTGGGGGGTTGGGGGGAAAGATGGGGGGGGAGGAGGGGGGGTGAAGAGGGGGGGAAGGGACGGGGGTGGCACAGGGATCATATGGTTTCAACCTTCTTGCTGTGGATGCCCTGGTGGGAGCTCACGCTCCTACTATCCTATGGTAGTGGAATGGGAGCATGGTGGGGGGGCATGGGGAAAATGCAGCAAGGAAGGGGAAAGTGAATCAGCAAAGGAGGGGAAAGTGAATCAGCAAAGGAGGGGAAAGTGAATCAGCAAAGGAGGGGAGTGGCGAGGGTTAGGGCCGATGGTGAAGGGACACGTAGAAGCATGTATCGCATAGTAGACTAGTGGCTGAATGATTGCCATATGAGTCCACTCCGTCACCCGCACAGCAGTGGCTCTGTGTATGCCTTCGGAATCGACTCTGGGTTCTTAAATACCATGACCCTGCCCATGCCCCCATTCCAATGCCCATGTCCCATCCCATGCCCGTTTCCATGCGCATTTCCATGCCCATTCCAATGCCCATGCCCGCGCCCATGCCCATTCACATGCCCACTCCCATGCCTCCCATGCCAGCACCCATCCCCATTCCCATCCCCATCTCCATGCCCATCCCCATGCCCATCCCCATGCCCATCCCCATGCCCATCCCCATCCCCATGCCCATCCCCACGCCCATTCCCATGCCCATCCCCATGCCCATCCCCATCCCCATGCCCATCCCCACGCCCATTCCCATGCCCATCCCCATGTCCATGCCACTGCCAAGGCTCTAGCTTTTGACCAAGCCCATGCCCACGCTCATGCGCATGCCAATGCCAGTTGAGAATGGGGGGGGGAGTGTGGGGAGAGTGGGGGGAGGGATGGGGGAATCACACGGCTCATATGGGTTTTATCCTCATGCTGTGGATGGCCAATGAGAGCTCATGCTGCAGCGCAGCTATCCTCAAGCCGGTGACCGGAGGGAGGGGGGAGGCACACGGCTCATGCTCCATTTGAGTCCGCTGAATCACTTGCATAGCAGTGGCTCCGCCCTGAAGTACCAGTGGGTATATGCACGGCCATGCCCATGCCCATGCCCATGCCCATGCCCATGCCCATGCCCATGCCCATTCCCATGCCCATGCCCATTCCCATTCCCATTCCCATTCCCATTCCCATTCCCATGCCCATGCCCATTTCCACGCCCATTCACAAGCCCATTCCCATCCCCACGCCCATTCCCGTGCCCATACCCATTCCCACGCCCATTCCCATTCCCCATGCCCATGCCCATGTCCAAGCCACTACCCTTGCTCTAATCCCCTGCGCATGCCTGTGCGCACGCCCATGCGGATGCCAATGTCGATGCCCATGCACTTGCCCATGCAAATACCTTTGTCCATGCCCATGCCCATGCCCATGCCCATGCCCATGCCCATGCCCATGCCATGCCCCACCCTCCCACATGCCAATCCAACCCCATCGAGTCAGCAACACCCCAACCTCACCCATTTCCCGACCTCACCCATTTCCCAACCTCACCCATTTCCCAACCTCGCCCATTTCCCAACCTCGCCCATTTCCCAACCTCGCCCATCTCCCAACCTCAACCATTGCCCAACCTCACCCATTGCCCATCCACACCCACTGCCTAGCTCGTGTTTGAGAAAATCTCAAGATCTCACCTGCCCAGTCCCACGGTACTTTTGGAGGGCATGATGTGATCAACCACATACACCTCAAAGGAGGTTTGATTGAATGAGGATTTAAAGAGGTATGCAGAAGGTTCAAAAGCAGTTTCAAGAAGGTTTAGAGAAGGTTAAAGGTTTGAAGAAGTAAAATTCGTCACATAAAATACCATATGAACCAACCAAATTGACTCACACATGCAAAAACGAGTCGTGAGTGAAGTGAGACAATGAGCTCATGTGAAACCTAGTTGAGCAGAAACTTGAGGCGAGCAAAACAGGATATGTGAGGGAGTGGGTACATGAGAAAAGAGGCCATGTGAGTATATACTGAGGGAGAGAGGCATGCATGAAATAATGGGAGTTGGAAATCCGTTATGCTTTGAACTGAGCTCAGGAGCAACTGATTACACTTTCTTCCCAAGTCACTTGCTGCATAAATCTTCTCTCACTGTTACACCGGTGTTCTGCCCTAGTAGCAAGCAGCTTGCCTCGCCCCTGCCATCCTCTCACCGTGACACAGATGCTCTGCCCAAGCCGCACAGATGCTCTGCCCAAGACACGAGCACAGGGTGAACTGAGTCGCTTCAAGCAGCAGGCAACTCCCCCACACCCCCATCCCTCCTGACCTCTGTGCTCTGCCGTACCACTTCTCCACCCCCTCCCCGATGCTAAGGTGGGGAAACGGGGAAATAATCCCCCCTTTTCCCCTCCCCCTCTCCACCCCCTCCCCCATCCCCCCCTTCGCTTCTCCCTTCTCTCAGTGTGACACGTAGAATGGACCGGTAACGAGTTGCACAGCACCGTATGTGGACGATGGGAAGCCGTCCTGTAAAGGGGACAAAACGTTCAGAGGCAGCACACCAAGTACTGGTGGGCGGGTGCAGGGGGCAGGGGCGCAGGTTGAGGGGCAGGGGAGCGGAGCAAGGGGGAAGGGTAGAAGCAAGGTGGGAGGGGAAGGGGCAAAGGAAAAGGGGCAAGGGGATGGGGCAACGGAAAGGGGCAAAGGGGAGGTTGAAAGGGGGCTGTGAAAGGAAGATGGAAGGGGAAGGAGCAAAGGGGAAGGCAATGGGAAAGTTGAAAGGGGAGGGGTAAAAGGAAAGAGCGAAGGGAAGGGGCACCGCAACTTTATAATTTGCCATATTCTGCCTACCTAGCTCCTTGATTTGAGGCATACCCATTCCTAGCTCAAGGGGAGCAGGGGAAGGGAAAGGGTGGAGGAGTAGGAAGAAAGGGTGGGGTGGAGGGGAGAGGAAAGGGACAAGGTGGGGACACGGGGGGAGGGGAAAGAGGAAGCGAAACGAGGAAAGGACGGGAAAAAGCGGGAGGGGGGAGAAGGTGCAGCGGGTAAGGGCAGAGAGGGGGAACGGGGAGGGGCAGAAAAGGGGGAAGGGGCAGGGGGCAAGGCGGGCCAGAGGGGCAGTAGATGCTAAAAAGAGCAAACGTTGGGATCGTAGGTTTGGCAGTAACAGCAAACGCCACGTGGCACGCCCTTATCTGCACCTGCATCTGCACCTGCGCTCAATGCTTCTTCCCCCTGTTACAGTCTCTTGCCGTAGTCGCTATTGCCCGTCCCGTTTTAAGTTCCTTATTTTAAAGGCCGTCCGTCTCTCTGCTCAACATTCTCCTGCTGCGCATCTGCGATAGTGCTTCGTCGCCGCTACCTACGTCCCCTCCCCAAGTCCTCCGCCAGTCCTTCTCCCGGAACTCTCCGCCGCCCGCCACCTCTCCGCCAATAGCGTATCCCCCTCCCCTTTCGCTTCCTCTTCCGCTTCCTCATCGCGCTCGCCGCTTGAATCACTCTGACTTCATCCGCAGAAGACTCTACAACGATATCCCCGCTATAAATAGATCGAATAAACGTACAGGACATGGCGGGCTGGGTCAAGCCCACGAATTTGGCGACACCTTCTAATGCCTGGCATTGCTTGATTCGTTATATGGAGACCTAATCACCCTTAATATCGGATTGTATGCTCCTTCATAAAGCGGCTTGCCGTTGACGACCTAAGCACTAGGTTTAATCTCGGGAATGCTGCGTTCTCAACGGGGCCTGAATCTGCTGACATGTGAGGCGGTAACGGAAAGCTCAGGTGCGGAAAAATGGCGCAAACGGTGCGTTGGTTAGTTTCGAAATTAGTTTCGAAGTTGGTTCCAGCCTTGAAACGCGACGCGATCTAAGAACGTTCAGCCACCAAGCCCAGTACCGTACACCAGCAACACATCACATTCCAATTTGCTTATGAAGAGTCATTGATGCTTGTCATGTAATTCATTATTCAGAGTGCATTTTTTTCAGCTTGCGAACTCTGAACACAATTACTGAATTGAAATCACAGAGAAACAACCCATAAGGAACAATCAGGGGTAGGAAGTCTGGCAAGTCAACTGTTGGCCCCAATGCCTTGCCAGCATTCCTGCCCCGGATGATTTGACCTATTTTAGCTACTAGCATGAACCAGAGCAAAGCTAGAGCAAGCCTATCCAGACACACCCATCTAAGAAACCCTCAAGGCTCCAGCCTATCACAAACACGACTGCAGCTTGTAACAGGCTGCGGCACCAGCAAAGATTGTCAAACCATCTGCCGTATCACGCACCAACGGCATCAGCACCAGCGTGGCAGTGTGGCTCTAAACAGCAGCAGCGGCGGGCATCTTGGCGCCCATGAGCTGCCCGCCCCACGTCACACCTGCTGCGCTGCTGCCCGCCAGCACAGCATACCCGCTCACTGCAGGCGCCTGCTGCGGCCCCCCCTGCTGTTGCCCCCCCTGCTTCTGCTGCCCCCCCTGCTTATGTCCCCCCTGCTTCTGTCCCCCCTGCCTGGCCGCGCGGCCGAATGCCCCCATCAGCAGCTCCCGCCCCATGCGCCTCCCCCCCTGCCCCTTCCGCGCCCCCCCCGTGCTGCCTCCGCCGCCGCTGGTGGGCGGAGGAGAGGCGGTGGGGAGCACGGCGAGCAGCGCGTCGAGGGTGGCGGCGTCCGCGTTCTCGAGGAACGCGTCGAGGCGCGCCTCCGCATGCAGCAGCCACCACCCCGCGCGCTGCTTCCAGTCCGCCGCGGCGAGCGGCAGCGCGAGCACGTCCGTCGCGGCGGCGTCGCACACGGCGCCCTTCACGATCGCCACCGAGTCGGGCGGACCGCCCGCCGCATCCACCAGCATCGCCTCGACGAAAAGGTTGTAGTTCCCGGTGGAATTCTTGAAGACGGCGAGGTGGAAGCTGCCGTTAAGGGTCTTCTGATCCACGGTGCAGTTGGCGAGCTGCGCGCCAACATCGGCCGTCAAATTTCCGACGGCCGTCAGGTTCAGCGGAGGACCGCGCGGTCCGCCAGGCCCGCCGGGACCGTCGCGACCGCCGCGACCGCCGGGACCGCCGGGACCGCCGGGTCCGCCGGAACCGGCGCCAGGGCCTCCGCGCTGACCGCCGGGAGGACCTCCGCCAGGCGGACCACGCTGCGCCAAGGCGGACGTCGACACGAGGAGGAGCACGCACGCGAGGACGAGCGCTCTGACTGCCATGGCAACTGTTGAGCTGCGATCGACGAAGTGAATGGGTTGCTAAACTAGCTGCGATTGACTAGGATGTAGTGGAAGCTGTTGGTGAGTGAGTGATATGTGAGGAGTTACAGTGGCCAGTTATAGGCACGAGGAAGCTAGGAGTTGGTTTTGGTGGCCCAGAGGAGGAGACGCGAGTCAAAGCTCTGAAAGCTGGCTCCAGGTTTGGACTTTCGTTCTGGAGCCCCAAGCCGTGCTTTGATTGGGTAGCTGGAGAGGCTCGGGATAGGAAGTTGAAAATGGGCGAAGAAATTCAACGCACCAGTCAGCGCGAAAAAAAAACAGGTATTGACAGGCTCGCTACTGTAATTCCTACATGCTGAATGAGAATGCATCAAAGGATGAGATTTTGTTGTATTGGTGTATTCCTTATTGATTACCTTGCGACAACATTAGTCTTCATATTACTCCAGACCTTGTGACAACAAGTCTTCATATTACCCCGGAGTGCATGCGTTTTAGTTGTACCTCACCTGGCTCAAGACCGCTAACAAGTGTCAGCCAATTTTCCCCAGTTGGCATGTCTCTGTGCTATAATTTTATTGAAGACAGACATTCAGCAAGACAGGAGAGCACATAGCTCAGTGCTCGACTGGCTGTCTTTGAAATGACTGTCTTCTTGTGCACGCATTGACTGCCTGCTTGTGTTGACTGACCGTGTTGCATATGCAAGGGGCTCGCGTGATTCTGATCCTCATGTGATTGATCCTTGCTGAGAGCGCATGCGCCTGTCATCCTGCCGTGTGCAATGGATGCACGGTGAGGGGAGAGTGGACGGACGGGAACTGTGAGCGGGAGGGGTGATGGTGAAGTGACAAATGAAGTAGCTGAATGATTGCTTGTGAAACCACTCACTCACCCGCATAGCAATGGCATGCCCATTCCTATGCCCATGCCCATGCCCATGCCATTACCCATGCCCATTGGCCATACCCGCCCATTGCCCATGCCTGCCCATTGCCCATGCCCGCGCATCGCCCATGCCCGGCCAGTGCCCATGCATTAGCCTCCCACTTTTTGATCCAGCCCCATCAAGTCAGCATCACCATTCACATTGCACAAGCTCACCCATTGCCAACCTCTCCCACTTCCCAGTACCGCCCAAACCCACCCATTGCCCACCCTCAGCCATTGCGTAGCCTCACCTATTGCCAAACCTCACCCATTGCCAAACCTCACCCATTGCCAAACCTCACCCATTGCCAAACCTCACCCATTGCCAAACCTCACCCATTGACAAACCTCACCCATTGCCAAACCACTACTCCACCACACGCCTGTCTCATACACCTTCGTCACTACTTCATGACATAGTACCTAGCTGTGCCAGCCGCCTCATTGACCCTCACCCTTGCAAGCAGGCACCCCACCCGCCCACCTCCAAGCCCCACCTGCCCACCTCCAAGCCCCACCTGCCCACCTCCACAGCTCTGTTGCCGGCGGTGGTGTGATCAGCTTTGTACGCCTTGAGTGCATTCATGCTGTGCTTGGTGATCCCCAGTAGCTTACCAGAAAGGAGATGGGGAGATGACGGATGGGGAGAGCAGGAGAGGAGCAGATGGGGAGATGAGGAGATGAGGAGATGTGGAGATAGGGAGATGAGGAGAGGAGAAGATGGGGAGATGGGGAGATGAGGAGATGGGGAGATGAGGAGATGGGGAGATGGGTAGATGAGGAGATGCGGGGATAGGAAGATGAGGAGATGGGGAGAAAAGGAGATGGGAAGATAGGGAAATGAGGAGATGCGGAAAAGGGGAGATGAGGAGATGAGGAGATGAGGAGCTGAGGGGATGAGGGGATGAGGAGATGAGGAGATGAGGGGTTTTAAGCACGGCTGTGCCCCTACCCATGCCCATGGTCCTATCCATGCCCATGCCCGTGTCCCATCCTTCCACATGCCAATCCAACCCCATCGAGTCGGCATCACCATTTCCCAACCCCACCCACTTCCCATCCACACCCATTACCTAACTCCTGTGTGGCAACATTTGTCTCACCTGCCGAGCTCCACAGCTGTGCTGCTGGTGGGCCAGGGTGGGTGAGAGGGAGGGGGGGGAGCTCCACGGCTGTGCTGGTGGGTGAGAGGGAGGGGGGGGAGCTCCACGGCTGTGCTGGTGGGTGAGAGGGAGGGGGGGAGCTCCACTCCACGGCTGTGCTGGTGGGTGTGGTGTGATTGCCAATCGGCCACATGCTGTGCTTGATGGCGCCATCATCAAAAGAGATGGGATGGACGCGATAAGAAAGAAGGGGAGGGAAGGCAAGCAAGGAGGCTCATCAGGAAGTTGTGAGGGTAGTTGTAAGGGGTTTGAAGAAGGTTTGCAGGGGGTTCAAAGGCAGTTTCAATGGGGATGAGAGACCAATTGAAGAAGGTTGAATTCATCACACCAAACTCCATCTGAACCAAGCGAATCCCGATTCACACGTGCAAGAAAGGGATGTGAAGTGAAGCAACGTCATGATTTGAAACCCACCTGAGCAGAAACTTGAATCGAGCCAAATATGATATGTGGGGGAGTGGGTACATGGGGGAAGAGGCCATGCATGTATATACAGAGACTGAGGCGTGTACAAAAAAAACGAGAGATGGAAATTCGTTTTTCTTTGAAGTGAGCTTAGGAGCAGCTGATTCTACTTTTTGTCCACAAGTCATTTGTTGTGTCATTTTTCTCTCACAGTTACACCGGTGGTGTGCCCTAGTAGCAAGCAGGCCGCCCCTACCCTCCTCTCACCGTGACACAAGTGCTTTGCCCAAGCCGCAATAAGGTTTGATTGAAGAAGGTAACTAAAAAAGGTTCAGAAGAGGTTAAAGTTATTACGCCAATTCTAACAGCATATCCACCAGCCGAATCAACTAAGGCATGAAACAAATAGTCGTAAAGTGAAACAATGTCAGAATCGACATGCAAAGACATAAGTAAGGCAAATTCCCTTTTGCATGCAGAGGGAAACGTAAGGGAGTAGCTAATTCAAGTGTATCAAGAGTGAGGCATGCATACAGCAGCAACTAAGAAGTCTCCTCGTGCTCGTCAGCCGATGCGTCTCGTTTCTCTCACCATTATTTTGGTGGTTAAAGCTATTACGCCCTAGACACGAGCACAAGGCGAATTGAGTCGTTTGGAGCAGCAGGCAACCCCCCACACTCCTGACCTTCACATCGGTGCTGTGCCTGACTGAGCCAGAAATAATCCTTTCTTTTCCCCTTCCCCTCTCCTCCACCCCCTCCCCCAACCCCCCCTTCCCTTCTCCCTTCTCTTACAGTGACACGAAGAATGGACCGGTAACGAGTTGCACAGCGCCGTATGTGGATGATAGGGATGTTAGAGGGCCCTACGACAGCAATGGCCTTCGTTGACCTTGGACTTGGCAGGTCGGCGCCTAACGACTGAGTCTACTCGGCACCGACGAATGAGTTCGGTGGAGGTCGGGTGTGACTACGTGTGACTATGTGCAACTGCGCAGGAGTTCGCATGAAGAATTGAGAGTCCGTGGGAGTCGTTGGTGCTTCCTTGAGAGTCGCACCACTCCTTGTTGTGTTGGTGGAGTGGTGTGCACGGAAGCGAGAAGTCGATGCTGAGTTGGGTTGGGAAATTGGCGAGGCGCGTTCGCTCACCCACACACCACTTTCGTGGGGTTGGGCTACTCGCAGCGCCCACGCAACCTCTTGTGAAACCCTCGCCTGCCTATATATGTTTGTGTTTGCTTGTGTGTTTGATAAATTCTATGTTCCTAGTGAAGTCCAAATGCTACTTCAATTCTCACCAAGTCCTTAGAGGCAAACACTACCAAAAACTCTACCAAGTTGCTGGCGCAACATCATTCCCATAGCAGAAACTCTCTCGTTATCGCTACGCTCTCTAATATATTCCTTCATGGTGCGGTGAGCGTGGAACGAACATGCATAGATTTTCGTCGTCGTTGATATTCGCGTTCGTATACTCGCCTTGGCGTGCGGCGTTAGTGAAGGGCGCTTATTAATCTAAGTTGAACCTCTCTTGATTTCCCTCCAGTTACGTTCTCGGACCCAAGGATAGGGCGTTTGATAATTTATTACCACTCGTCTAAGGACCCTTGTGAGGAGACCCCGAGACGAGGGATTTAAGGAAGGGGCATTTTATTTTAATTTGTGGTACCTTATAGAGATGTCGTAGAGGATGAGTACAGAGGAGGCGAACGTGGAGGCCGGTGAAAAAAAACGCTCTAGAGGAGGATCTCATGGCTCGTCATTCTCGTGGTGAGATTAGTGATATCGAATACGAGCTAATGTTGGAGGGATTGCGCTCGCGTCGGCGTCGTGAGCACCCTTCACCACGTGTAGAGAATGTTGAGCAAGTTGCGGGAGGTACAAGTGCGTGGGATATGGCTGTCGATGGCGGAAATAGCGATGACAAGGAGTTTGATGGGTTGATGTCGCGTGGGGTCCTGTGAGGACCAACTCGGTTTAATACGGCTAGCGTCGGCGGTGTACAGGAGCGTGTCCATCGTGCAGTAGCGTCACGAGAGCATGCGAATGTAGGACAGCGGAGCGTTGCTGGAGGAGGAATTGCGGAAGAGTTCGATAGTGAGACTCTGCCGGACGTTACCCCGATTGGATCGATGTCGAGGGACGAGGGAATAGCCCCCAACTATGGCTACTTCAGATTCACTCCAGACAAGATCGTTGTCACTAGGCCGTTAGAAGGACGTCACGACCTGTCGACGTGGACAGAATCAATCGTAGATGCAGCTTGAGATCGCTCAGCTAAAGCGATTCATAGATGGCACCACCCCCATTCCACCAGCGCGTGCGCTTGCGCATCTCTCTCAGTTCCGCGCGATGCAGTTGCTGACATTCACCACTATTTCCCGATGCTGCTCCCCAACCGTACAGATCGCCCTTAAGGCGTGTCGCATGAAGGTCGATGCCAGCTATCAGGCATGGCAGTTTATTATGCGCACGTACATGGCGAAGGACGATATGTACATCGGTCAGTTAGAGCAGGCGCTCACTAACCTCGAGATGGGAGAGCACGAGTCCGCTACGTCCCATTGCAACCGTGCGCAGTGTGAAATGAGTAAGCAGGAATGAGGTGAACTATGAATGAAAGCAGTACAAATGTGAAACCCTAACTGGGTTGTACCCCCTATGGGATACCCCACTACAGCCTACACAGCAGTATAAGCTATAGATATGTTCTGACACACCCCCATAGGCAAAGTGGGGGAGAACAAGGGGTCACAAGACCAGTCAAGCAAGACAAAGCAAAGCTCAGGGTGGATCACAAAGTCACCACACAGTCCGAGCACAAGAGCAAGGCCAAAGGCCAGTTCACAAGCAAGAGTACAGACATATATATATAAAACTAGACAAGCAAGAGCAGGTATATATATATGTCACAGTACAAGTAAAGTCAAGAGGAGAGCAAGTGAGGCAAGACAGGCACAAGACCCAGCTGGGTGCAGAAGCGCTGATGGTCACAAGGCGCAAGTGCCTTGGTGAACACATCAGCAGTGTTGGCCTCAGAGGCCACGTACGCAAGTCGCAACTGACCACGCTGCTGCAACTCACGAGCAAGGAAGTAGCGGAGAGCAATGTGCTTCGTTCTGTGCTCCAAGCGCTGCTCTCGACACAAGGCCAGCATAGCCTTGTTGTCTACGTACAGCACTGGAGGAGAACGAGGCGGCTCTCCAAGGTCAGTCAGCAGGTAGGTGAGCCAGCGAAGCTCCTGTGCAGCCATGGCTCCGGCGTAGATCTCAGCCTCACAACTGGAGCCGAGAACCGAAGACGAGCGAGTAGACCGCCACGAGACAGAGCCGGAACCAAGGCTGAAGGTGTAACCCTGTGACGACCGCTGCGTAGCCTGGTCGTCAGCCCAAGAAGCGTCCGCGTGGCCGGTAAGGACCACTGGACTCCGCCCTCCAAGCACTAGCCCCATGCCTGACGTACTGCACAGGTAGCGCAATACCCTCTTCGCTGCAGCCATGTGCTCCGGTCTGTGTCTCCCAGGAGCAACATAGCGTGCAAGAATGCTCAGAGGGCATGCAAGGTCAGGTCGTGTGCAGGTCATCAGGTACATGAGGCAGCCAACAAGCTCTGCATACGGACCACTCGACTCTACGGACTCATCCGAAGGCAGAGCTGAGAGTGAGTGGCGAGTAGGCAGAGGAGTGGCCTGAGGCGAGGAGTACGTGAAGCCGAAGCGCTGAAGGACCTGCTGCACCATGTGTGACTGAGTCAAGGTAATGGTGCGGCGTGCTCTGTCCCGAGTGATCTGCAAGCCAAGGTAGCTGCGCAGTTCACCCAGGTCTGTGCACGTGTGTCTCTTCAGCAGCTCGGACTTCACGTAGGCGAGTCCAGCAGTGTCCGCTGTGGCAAAGACCAAGTCGTCGACGTACACGAGGATGTAGAACGGCGGCAGGGAAGTGTCGGTGCGAAGAAACAGCGACGGGTCAGCAGTAGAAGGAGCAAACCCAAGAGCCGCAAGCGTAGTCCTCAGTGTGTCGTGCCACTCACGCGGTGCCTGGCGGAGACCGTAGACTGGCCGTCTGAGGCTCCACTGGGTGCCAGGAGGGAAAGTCCCAGTGAAGCCAGGTGGACGGCGAAGCCAGATCTCCTCGTGCAGGCTACCCTGCAAGAACGCAGTGCTGAAGTCGAGAGAGTGAAGCTCGTAGTCGCGCTGAGCGGCTATGTGCAGCAGCACCCGAAGAGTAGTCATCTTCGGGGTGGGAGAGAAGGTCTGAAAGTAGTCAACTCCCTGCCGCTGACTGAAGCCACGAGCAACGTACCGTGCCTTGAAGACAGGTGGAGAGCCCGGCGGCCGCTTCACCCTGAAGATCCACATGCCACTGACGATGTTCGCCCCAGGAGGGGGAACTGCGTCAACGTAGGTGCCTGTGGACTTCCAGGAAGCCATCTCTGCATCCATGGCTGCCTGCCACTGAGAGGAGTAGGGGCCCTCTACGTCCTCCGCGTAAGAACGCGGAGTCGGGATGTCTAGTGCATCCGGGTCTCCCTCAGGGGCAAGCAGTACAGACGCGAGATGAGGTGAAGCAGCCGCTAGACACTGTAACTCCTCCTGCCTGTCCTCTAGGACGTCCGTGCCAAGAGCACACTCACCCCCGACGGACGGAGGACAGACAGACGCAGACTCAGCAACAAGACTAGCAGCGTAGTCGAGACGACAGCGAGCAGCAAAGTCGACGAGCTCAGCGAC